TATCAGTGCAAGATGAGGTATCTTGAGCTGACCAAACCCTAATCTTGTCTTGAATCCAAGAAGTCTTGTGAGAAAAGTTTTGATAAATGAGAGAGCAAATTTTGGGGTACAATAAGTTGCAAATTATAAATTAAAAAAATACTGTTTCAGAACGTTGTAAATTATGGCGGGTTTTGTGTTGTTACGGAGGGTTAAAACGCTACAACTTACCAAAAACTGAATGTTTGAAAAAATTGAAAAATTAAAAAAATTGTCTAAATTTTTTAACCAACCTTATGCAATATCTATTGATTTATCCAAGTTAATAAATTATATTTGAAAGTGATTTAACATGGTTCAACCATGACAAATAAATTTTCAAATGCATGATAAAAAATATTGTTTTAAAGGCTAGAAATAGTGAGATTTTTTCAACCAAATGAACCATGCATGCAAGTAAATTTTGGAGATTATTTTGAGTACTATTTTATCAATATATATTGAATGCTTATACCTTAATAAATTAATATCAATACAAGTCTTTATAATGTTACAATCTTGATCCATAGGCATATCGCTTCATGATGTGTTTTCTCATCCATTGATAAATGCACATAGTAGTTGTCTTAATCAAAACATAATATTGAAGAAGCTTGACTTCACAAATTTAAAGTTGTACCGGTATATTTTCATAGGATATAAATGGTGACAAAAAATTCACCAGATGCGCAATAGACCTAGGTTAATAAAACCCGAGATATCGCCCATATCAGGGAGTTCACCCCAAACAGAGGGTGTCTAGAAGATACAACTCAAAGGTGGTTCTAAGAGAGATGCAAGAGGGTGACCTCATTCTTAGGCAAGTGGTCGTTCCATCCCAACATGGGAAGCAACAACCTAACTGGGAGGGTCCATATCGTGTATGTTAAAAACTATCCCATGGAGCCTACAAGCTCGAGGAGTTAAATGGAAAACTCATCCAACGAACATGTAACTCAATAAATGTGAGATATTGCATGGATTATTACTCTTAATTTTAAAACACTTACTACTATTGGACTGTGTATATGTTCACATATAAATAACCCAACAATTCTTTCACGGAAAGAAATGTTATGGTAAAACTATTATCGATCATTATATATTCATGAAAAAAAATTTCGATGGTGATTTTATTATTCTCTTGTTATATGCTAATGGTATGTTGATTGATGGTCATGTCACTAAGAAAATTTAAATCCTAAATAAATATTTAATCAAGTTCTTTGCAATGAAGGACTTGGATCCTGCACAATAAATTCTTGGAATGAGAATTTCTCATGATAGGAAGAAAGGTAAATTTTGGTTGTCTTAATGCAATTATATTGAGAAGGTGTTAGAGAGGTTAGCATGAGCAATTTAAAACCTGTGAGTATTCCACTTGCTCGTCATTTCAAATTGAATTTTTAATAATGTGGAGCAAGTGAAGACAACAAGATGATATAAAGAATGGTCCTTATGTATTTGTAGGCGGTAGTTTGATGTATGATATGATATGCATAAGACCACATATTTCTCATGGTGTTGGTATTGTTAGTCAATTTTTCTCTAATCCTCATAAAGATTGTAACACCCTATTTTTATTTAGTAATTATATTGATAGTTATTTATTTTATTAATTATTATTTGATATAGTAATTAATTAAAATTGTGTGATTTTGTAAATATTTGGATTAATTGTTTAATTGTGTTTTGGGTTGATAAGTGTTAGAATAGAAATATTGAGTATTGGGCCTTAAGTGTCACATTAGAATGGGTGGTGAGATAAGCCCATTAGTGAAATAAGGGTTAGTAAGGTGGTGTGAAACAAAATAGATAGAGCTGTAAAACAAGAGAAGAGAAGAAAAGAAGAAAAGAAGGGAAGAAGGGAGAAAAGGAGAAGAGGAGAGAAGAAGAAAAGCTTAGAAAGAGTCTACATCTAAGGTAAGAGTTTGATTTCTTGTTATTATGGGATTATATATAAGTATGTAATGGATAGTAGTAACATGAATTAGGGATTTCAATTTCAATTTCTAGGTTTTGAGATACTTAAGTTTTGAAATGTGAATCATGAATTAATGTTGGAAATCATATTTTGATGTTTGTATTTGATGTTATATGATATATATATGATATAATACATTTAATTGATGAAAATGGGTGTTGGATGAGTTTTGTGTGAGAAATTCGTAACAAGACAGAACTGTCTGTAAGAAGATTTTTTTGGTTTTTTGTGAGGGCGCTTAGCGCGGTCGTCTGGGAACATAAATATTTTATTTTGTTTTATTGGATGGGGGTCTTACATGTTATGATTTATCATTGATTTACACGAATTTTAATAATTTATTCGATGTGTTTTTGATTGGTTTTGGATAAATTTTGATGAGAAACATGACACTTAATTTTGTGTATGTAATTGTTGGGAATTGATGTTGATTGAAGATAACATGGTTTGTACTTGTTTTCTACATGTTATAATGACTTGTTAAGATGATTAATGTTATGAGGATTAATGTTATGGGGATGCATTGTATGCGATTGATGACATGATATATGTATATTGTGCAATTTGGTGAAGATAATTTAAATGTGTTGAATTATGTGAAATATGCTTGTACGATTAAGATTGGAGGATAGTATTAATTGCATATGATTGATGATATTTCATATGCACATACATCATTTGTGTCAAGAGGAAATGTTTGGTAATTCCTTGGGAATGATTGACTTGTCCCAAACCTAACACCAAATAAGGTTTGAAAGCTTAGTACCGAATCGAGCTTTTATTGGTAGTTATTTGTCTGAGAGATGGACCCAACTAGATCGGTAAGGATAATATTTGGTACTACATACATATTGCATTGAGTTGCATGGAGTCACATGTGTCGATGTGAAATATTGAATTGATGTGCATTATGTGATATTGGTGTGAATGTTATATATGTGGTATTTGTGATTGATTATCTTTGAATCTTGTATCGTTGAGCTATGTTGTATATTTTATCATGTGAATGGTGTTGAAGTATGTTAATTACATGATTATGTGAAGTATGATGAATTCATTTGATGTATGTTTATTATGCATTACTTATTATTATATATTTCTATAATGATATGAATTCTCACCCTTTTGTTGGAATGGTGTTTTTATACGACATCGCTCAGGTACAGAAGTTAGTGGAACTCCTAGCAGGAATTAGACGGAGGAGCTAGTTCTTATTTATCCGCTTTCTTAGGTAGTGAGTCATGCTCTAGTCTATGTAACACGGGGAACCTTTGGATTTCTGTTATGTTTATGATATTCGTATTTATTTGAGAGATGTCATTATACTCTCTAGATATTTATGTTTGATTGAGATGTGTATGATGTTGGCCTTTAACGCCTAGTATTTATGATATGATTGTCAGTATGAGATTTCAATCATTAATATTATTATTTTGAGTTAAGAATTATTCTGCTGCGAGATGCTTATGTATTATGGTATGGAACATGATTCTAAATGTGTGTTATGAATATGACCAATGTGTTAGATTTGTTGTTGTGAAGTGAATGTGACGCCCTTTTGTGATGTGCATGCTAATTTACTCTGATTTATGCCGTTTATTTTATGTGGGGTTTAAAGGGTATTATAAAGATCATCGACAAGCAATAAAATTCATTCTCATATATCTTATATGTACTTCAACAACGTGCTTATGCTTTGGGAGTAGTAATCCTATGTTAGATGACTACACATATGTATATAATTTCCGGTGATATTGATTCCAAAAAGAATTTACTTATATATACACGATGACTTTTGTAGAAGGATTGATGTTTTGGAAATCAAGGTTACAAAAGTTTGTTGCTTTATCTATTATTGAGGTTGAATATTATGTAGCAACTGAAGCATTTAAAGAACTTTTGTGGATGAAATTTCTATAAGAGTTGGATGATGAGCAAAAGGATTTTATGTTGTTTTGTGAAATTTAGAGTGCAATTCATCTAGATAAGAATTTGAGTTTCATTCCAAGTCAAAAACACAATGAGGTGCGGTATCATTGGATATAAGATGTGTTAGAGATGAATTTGTTTTCGCTTAAAAAGATACATACCGATGAGAATGGTTTAGATATGATGATAAAAAATTTACTCATGACAAAGATGGTTAATTGTAGAAAGAAGACGGACATGGTAGAATTAGTCCTCTCACTTAAGTTATGAGGAGGAAATTTATAGGATAGACTCACTCTTAAAGTGAGACCCATCATTTATTTTGAAGAAAAAAAAGAAAAAAAAAAAGAAAAATTTTAATCTTTAAAGACAAAAAAAAAACTAAACAACAGTTTTAGAAAAAAGTTGAAATAGAGAAGAAGAAAAGGCATGACGATTGTTGTGAAAGAATAAGAGAAAATTGGCTGCGATTGATAGATGAGTGTGTAGCAAATTTTATATGTTTGAGATACAAATATAGTATGTTATTTCTATCACGTAATTAATTTTATTTATATTAATGTTGAGTAGTTTTATCTTTTCTTAAAGTTGTTCCCGTATACCCATATTTTTGTGGAGGTGTTGTTTGGAGTAAATTGTGTTTCTCACCTTTATTATTTATTGGTAAAAATTTGTATTTCTTACAGTTACTAGAAAGACTCTTTATATGTCCATTATTTATATAAGTGCTTTTTTTTTTCATATTTATATTCAATTAAAAAAATTTGAACATACTCATTATAGTCATTTAATCTCTATTGAGTTTATAATGTGATAGGAATAATGAGTGAAATTAAAGCATCAAGATGAAAAAAAATTATTTCATGAAAATGTGGTACTTCTCAACCCTTTAATTATGATAATAAAAATTGAACAACATAAGTATATATAGAAAATGCATTTTAATTTAAGGGAAAAATGTTTTTCCTATTATAGACTAGGCATGGAGTGTAATAGAGTTTTTGCTCGTCTTTTACATTTTGCATGGGATAAGAATATGCACATGCATGTGTCTAGTTTCCATGAATGTTTATGAATGTGCTTCTTTGTTTTCTCTTCCTCCCCAACTTCCTTCGTGTCCAACTCCATCTCTTCCTATAGGTTCACCTTTTTCTTCTTTCGAACGTCCTTTGTTTTCTCCTTCACTTTCTCCTCCAGGTTCATTCATTTCTTTTCTTTCGGGTAATCCTCCTGCCCAACCTCCTTCTGTCCAACTTCCCCAATATCCATCACCATACTTTCTTCCTTTTCCCCAATATTCATACTTATTTATCCCGATTATTGTTTTGGATTCTTCAATTACACCAACTGCAAATCAAACAACATGTATTTGTTAAACATAATAAAGTTGAGAAAAATTATGTTGCACACAATTTATAAATATACATTGTTTCCCGTCTTTGAATGGCTTCATTGCGATAATGGAGATCAAATTTAATGCACAAAGAAAGAACACAAAGATAAAATATTTAGTTTTCATCTTCAAGTCAAGTATGAATTCATATGGATTCAGTCAGGATATATTTATAGTGATCATGGGATAAGATAAATAAAAGAGAAAAAACTTGAATAGATAATATTTTGTATAGTAACCATTAGATGATTGTAAGAGTATTGGGTCATTACACTTATTCAGTGATAAATTGGGACATGCTTGTCAAAGAAGTAAGAAAAAAATTTAGATTACTAGCAAGTTACTTGTGTGGTCATTTCCATTTCTATATTAATTTAAAATAAATTTAATAAAAAATTAAATTTGTATTTATAGCTTTACAAAACTTTAAAATATGCATATTATATTAAAATAATATTTGAAATTAAATAATTAAAAAAATAAAATAAAAGTGTGTTTTAAGTATTATTATATATTCTCAAATAAATTTAAGAAATATCTTTATATATTAAATTAAACTAATTGTAGTTATAATATGCACGATTGAAATAATAACTTAAACTTTTAAAACTTTAAATTTAAATAATTATGCTTTTGCCTAAATAAACTTTAAGATTATGTAATTCTCTCATTATGCTATATTATATAATTTAAGAGGAATACAAATTGATGTTAAAGTAAGTTATGAGTTTGAATTTTTATTAGAAAGATCATAAAGAATTATATATAGAGAGACAAGTAATATGTTGCTAAAGTATACGGGGAAAGTAATAAAAAATGATATGTAGAGAAAATAAAGTTAAGATTGCATAGACAAGTAATATATCGTTAAACTTAGCAATATATTTGTCAAATAATAGAAATATAACACTTTACATAAGAGAGATTCAATTTTATACATTAATAATATAAATAAAAAATAGAAAATACAACAAAATAAATGAGAAAAAGTGAAAAACTAGAATTTTTTTTTTTGAGTAACTATGTATTAAAAAAAATTCGCAAATAACCGCGTTTCGAAAAAAATTACGCAAATAACCATGTTTCAGATTACTCCCCAAAAGAGGAGTCATCTGAATTGGCGCCTACTCTCATTGTTTAAAGGGAGGTGCCATCTCACTTGGCGCCTATGTGCTTAGGGCATGCCCTAAGCCAAGTGAGATGGCGCCTATGTGTTATTTTAGGGCAAAAGTTAAAAAAAAATTTGTCTGGTGCGTTGCGTGTTGGATACAAGATCAACAAAATGGACTTTTTATTAAAAAAAAAATATATCCAACTGTATTACATTAAAAAAACAGATAAAAAAAACAGATAAAAAAAAACAGATAAAAAAAACAGAAAAAAAAAAAAATAGATAAATCAGTGATCCCCCGGAACCCGGTAATGACCCCCGGTTCCGCATCTCCGTCCTCGTCTTTCCCGTGCTGGGTGTCGTCGTGTTTCCTGCTGCGGCAGGGTTGATGGCCCAGCGAAGTCAATACGGTCTGGATCCATAAAATCAGTCAGATCTCCATATCTAGAAGATCCGCTTTGGTACAGTCGGTTACCCATACCCTCAAAGTTTGGTCGTGTTGGCGGTGGGTGGGGTTCCATGGTGGGTCTGTAGCATTGATCGTCTGAGTACGGTGGGTAGAAAGGAAATGGATCTTGGGGTGTTTGGTATTGAGGATTTTGGGTGGTTTGGTGATATTGTGGTTGATGGTAGGCTGGATCGGTTTGTTCGTAATCTTCCGACATTCCCATATCAAGGCTAAGGCTGGATGTTGAGGGGCCCATATTGGGATATACGGAAGACTGAAATTGTGTGTGGGGTATGCGGGTGTGCTGGTATTGTGATTGGTATTGTGGTTGGGTGTGAGGCATATCGGGGTATTGGTAGTGAGGTGGTGATTGTGGTTGGTTGTGTGGCATTTGAGTGTAATTGTGTTGTGGTGGGGACTGTGGTTGGGTGTTTGTGGGTCTGTTTCTTTTTGGGGGTTGGTGGGAGGTTGATGGGTTTTGGGTTTGTTGTTGGGGAAACGAGGGTTGTGCCCATTGTGTGCGTGGGTCAACCAAGTACCTTGGATGAGACACGTGCATTTCAGGGTTACTAACCGACCTGTACCAAGATAAATATTGATCTGTGTGTCACATATTACCATGATTAAGGAAAACCGAGAATTACAAGACATAGCGGTGACACCTCTGCCACATCTTACACCATTCCGGAGCGAAGTCTTTCCAGTTGGTAAGACCCCTTTGGGCGTCAACCCTTTTAAGATGCCATGGGGACAAACAAGTTGGATCACTTGGTATCTCTTGATGCATTCCGAACTGCACCTTCACACGGTCGTTGTGGTGCATCTCCACAATGTTGAACCGAATGATTGCAGTCTTCGCGGTCCAAATTGCTGCATCCTCCGGGTTTGGATCATGGCCCAAACCCAAATATGGTCTCCAGACGAACTGCGATAAAATTTAAATCAGGTTAACGAAAGCGTAATGTATAAATAATTTAAATGAAGAAAAGTTTAAAGCTACGACGTACATCATACGGGCCTAAGTGATCCAACAGATTGCGGTATAGTGCGACATTGAATCTTGGATTCTTGCCGTAATCCATACCCCTCACGCAGTACCTAAAGGAAATGAAAAATATTTTATTCTTAGCATATATTTGGTGAAGAGATGAATAGTAAAAAATGATATAACTTGATGAATTACTTTGTTGCGTACGGGAAATCGAAAGTGTTGTTGTTGACGGGGTTTAAGGACTCCATCCTCCACCAACCCCAGGCTTGTAGTAAAAAAGCGCACCCATAAAATGTACATTTTTCCTTGACTGCATTTTTGCACAAGGAACTGTATAGGTGGGCTAAAACTGCAGAACCCCAACTATATTTTCTTGTTTATTCAAAATTTCTTAGTAAATGTAAATACATAAAATTTACACTATTTCCCGTACTTTCGGGAAATAAAAAGGTACCAAATAGTATCATAAGATAAGTTCTGGATTTTACTACCCTATCTTGCTCGGAGGAATTTTCGTTTAATTCCAAACTTGCATAATGACTTTTCAGCTCAGTGAGTAGTATTCCCTGACCTCTCGCACCACCACCTTTAACCATATCCCTGCCCAACAGTTCTTCACACTGAGAGTTGGGTTGTTGAACCGACCCATTCACGGCCTTACCGTCGACAGGGAGACCTAGTAGCATGTACACATCCTCTAGCGTGATGGTACATTCACCTATTGGTAGGTGAAATGTATGGGTCTCTGGTCTCCACCTTTCCAACATTGCAAGAATGAACTTCGAGTCAATAGTGCAGTTGGAGATCTTTATGACATGTCCAAAACCTGCGTATTCCAGGTATGGTACGATAAATGGGTCGGGAGCCAGGTAGTTGTGAGAACGGATTCTGAATCTTTTGGTGTCCTGAGTTCATAATGTAAAAGGTGTAAGATTAAGTAGGACGAACAAAGCATTATCTGAAGTATGAAAAATGTATAACCAAAATAGAAACTTACAAATGCGACAATGTTTTCCCTTGTGCCTCTGTGATAATCGCCCATTGTTAGAAGAGCCATTGTTTAAAATGCTTGAGACTATGAAAGACTTAGAAAGTGTAAGAGAGTATGAGAGACTTAGAAAGTGTAAGAGAGTATGAAAGATTTCGTAGCAGAGAGTGATACTTGTGTGGGTGTGAGAGATGTATGATATGGTTTGTATTTATAGGCAAAAAAATTTCATATAGTGGTTGCTGGTGCTTGCATGCATGCGAAGTGTCACTCTTGCATGTAAAAAAATGAAAGGTGTCACTCTTGCAGGCTAGGTGGCAGCCTAAGGATGTATCACGATTGGACAGTAAGGGAGGCGCCATTGGACTTGGCGAAAGAGTACAAAAATGAATGGTGTCGCCACCCCCAATTGGCGAATAAGAGGTGTCCTTGGTTGCAGGCTAGGTTCAGGCTACGTGACAGCCTTTGGGATGCCTTGCCTGAATGCATGTCACCCCATTGGAGGTGATGGGAGGAGACTTACAACATACAGTATAGGTGCAGAGTAGGCGTAGGTGTGATACGGTGGGAGAACTGACTATGGTTTTGCGTTTGTTTTCGCAAATGTTTCGGTTGAGCAAGAGTCGCCACCGACTTTTTATTTTATCCTAAGGAAAGGTTTAAAAAGCACAGCAAAAACCTTTGAGATGTTTTCTTGGGTTCGGGGAGTAGATTATAGAAAGGGAAGGTATTAGCACCCTTTCTATCCATGGTTATCCATGGGCTCTTAGTTACTTGCTTAGATCACTTGCCTTTTGTTTCAATTGTTTTAAATGGTGCTCGTGTGTGTGTGTGGGTTTGAAAATGTTTTGAAAAGAAGGCAATGTGGTGGCAACCTTTGTAATGATCCATGTGGGGATGTATACAAAGATGTATGTCTTTTGAAAAGGTTTTCATTTTGTTTTTGAAAGTTGTTTTGAAAGTGTAGTGATGTGTGATTTAGAAAATAGGCAAGTGTTTTGTTTTTGCAAGTTTGATTCAAGTAACTAAGAGGTTATCTACTCCTAAATTTCTCAAAGACTATTGCTATGTTTTAACCCTTTTAATAAGTTTGTTCCACCATTGTATTTGGTGGACAATCTCATGTTAGGATGTGAAAGGGACAGGCGCGGGTCATCGTTTTAGACCATAATTGCAATGGTGCCAAGTATCTTTGGGCATTTTCTTTAAGGGACTTGATCATTTGTTTTGGCAATATTTTGAAAGCGTCATCGAGGGACTATGATCATTTGATTTGTTTGTTTTGCCCAAAGAGACCTAACATGCAATATGGCCCAATTTTGAAAGGCAACAAGTGGAATATCCTAGGGGGTGCAAGTGTGATTTGTGTGTCCATTTTCATGCTTGTTTGTCTTGAGATTAGGTCATACTATTTTTGTCGTTTTTCGCATACAAACCCTAATTCTATCATGGTATAATTAGAAAGCAATAAAGTGCGAAAATAAATTAACTAAGCTATTACAAAACCAAATATGGGAAGGGG